GGCTGGGGATTCGAACCCGCCACCTTAGGTGTACGTGGCTGGCGCCTTAGCCGGTTGAGCTATAGGCGCCGAGCCGTTTTTTGGTTTTTTTGAGACAGAGTCTCACTTTCGCCCTCAGAAGTGTGCCATGATGTCACAGCTCACAAACAACCTCAAATTCTTGGGCTCAAGCAATTCTCTTCTTCAGCCTTCCAAGTAGCTAGGACTACAGGCGCCCGCCACAACACCTGGCTATTTTTAGAGATGGGGCCTCACTCTTGCTCAGACTGGTCTTGAACCTGTGAGCTCAGGCAATCTACCTGTTTCGGCCTCCCAAAGTACTAGGATTATAAGCATGAGCCACCGCACCCAGCAATCTGAGTTATTAATAAGAGTATGTGAACTAAAATAAAATTTTAAGCCACTCAGCTGACTGAATGGACCTTTTGGCCAAGGAGACCCCAAAATACCCTAAAGCTCAGTTGCTGGCCATAAGAAAGGAGGTCAGACATGCCTCGTCACGCGCTGCTCCCTTCTTGAACTTATTGAACTCCCTTGTCTAACTTATTGAGAGGCCTAAGGCCATACAAGACAAAGCTTAACTCATACCTGTAGGTCATCAATTTACTTAACAGATCACTTAAGTCTCAGTGTACATCTGGTGACTTGTCTCTGATTAACAGTTCTTTTTTTTGAGACAAGAGTCTCACTTTGTTACCCTCAGTAGAGTACTGTGGCATAGTAACCTCAAACACTTGAGCCATTCTGTTGCCTCAGCCTCCCATGTAGCTGGGACTACAGGTGCCCACCGCAACACCTGGCTTTATTTTAGAAACAAGGTCTTGCTCTGGCTCGGGCTGGTCTTGAACCTGTGAACTCAGGCAATCTACCCACCTCAGGCTTCTTTCTAGCATGCTAGGATTATAGGCATAAGCCATCATGCCCAGCCCTCTTAGCATTTGTAAGGTAAAGTCTAAGTTGTAGTTGTTTCCATCACCCAGAAGTGTGACATGAAGGTTATGCCACCACAAGTTCACATGTACTCACACTCACACACAGTAGGACATTTGTTTCTGAAATTATAAATTAGGTGAGCACTGTGTCATCTCTGCAGTCTCCATTAAACCAGAGGATCCACTTCATGGGGCCTACTGAACTGAGTTTAAAATTCTAAACTGGGCTCGGCGCCTATAGCTCAACCGGCTAAGGCGCCAGCCACGTACACCTAAGGTGGCGGGTTCGAATCCCCAGCCCGGACCCGCCAAA